AGAAAAGCAGTTAGTTACCTACAAGGGAGCACCCATACGACTGTCAGCTGATTTCTCAACAGAAACTTTGCAGGCCAGAAGGGAGTGGCAAGAAATATTCAAAGTGATGAAAAACATGGAACTACAACCAAGATTACTGTACCCAGCAAAGCTATCATTTAGAATTGAAGGTCAGATAAAGAGCTTCTCAGACAAGGAAAAGCTAAAGGAGTTCATCACCACCAGACCAGCACTACAGGAAATGTTGAAGGGTCTTCTTTAAGAAGAAGCTAATGAACAAAAGAATCTGATGAACAAAATAGATCCAGAGACATTGATGCATGCAACAGATGATCATATTTCAGAGGAAAGAGGGAAGGGGGGGTGGAGGGTGGGAAGAGATTAACTAAAGAAGTTATACGCATATATGCACAACCCATGGACACAGTTAATAACGGGGTGAAGGCCTGGGGAGGGGGTGGGAGTGAAGCGGAGGGAGTCAATTTGGGGGGAAAATGGGACACCTGTAACACTCTCAACAATAAAGACAAATTAAAAAAAAAAAATTCTCTCCTGAACACCTACTTTACGATTCCCAGGGAAGGTCGCTTGTACCCCAGCACAGCTGGAGACAAGCCTCCGAGGCTTCCATGAATCAGATGATTTCCTTCATCAGAGCTTCTGGCATCTCCAGACTGGAAGTGCTCTTCCTGCAAATGTGCACTTCACTTCGCCTTGTCTACTGCTGTGCTGGGTACTAACTGCAGCGGCATGCAGAGGGAATGGAGTATGACGGCGAGGACCAGCGCCCCTTGGGCACAGGCAGGTTATGCATTTTCAGGTTCCTCATTCGAAACCGGGGTTCCGGGCACCTCCCTCATGGAGTTGCTGACACACAGTGAGACCTTGATAAATGTCACAGTTGAATGGAGAAGGGTTGAAACGATGTTGCTGAAAATCACAGTAACTATGATGAGATTCCCTATGTCCTTCTCCATTCCCCAAAAGATAAAGAATACATTAAAAGAATCCCAGAACATTTATTTCCACAGGTTCGTGAGAAAAGAATACAATTCTGAATAAAAGCACACTCCTGTATTTAAAGGCAAAACTACATAGCAAGCAAGAGCTGCCCCCAACCCCTCACTGAGAAACATCAGAAATGTTGCGCCTCCTGAGTTTTATAATTACTCATGTCTCCCAGCCCATCTCTCATTTTCTGCGACTTCTGACTGAAATGTGTTCACAAGCTGCATGTATGCATGTGTGTGCACAAAAGGCCCACCTGATCTACGTAATGAAGGAGCTGAGACAATGTGCTGGGAAAAAGTAACCCCAATGTGATGGAGAAGCTCCAGCCAAGGAGGCTAGCTTTCTCCTTGAGTCCTCACATCCCAAAAACGCCACTAAGTGTTCCTGAAATTTAAAAGCCAGTGGGTCCTGTGCTGGCTCCTGTATTGAGCTTCTACCAGTTCAGGTCTGGAAGGGGGGACATGGGAAAGGAGACTGTGGAGGTGTGCGGGCACCTATACCCCGCTGAGGCCCAGTACTTGCCCCAGAGAGAAGGAGGCAGAGGTCCCAGGATGTGCAGTTTGCCTTGGCTGGGGGAGAGAGGCCATTCGAAGCCCTATGCTGAGACCCGGTGCTTAAGCCATGGCACCCCTGCTGTCATCATAGGTATGAGGGACCTGTTGTGTTCAGAAGTGATCCTGTCCTCAGGAATGCCACCACAGGCCTCCGGAGCTCCTTGTAAGGTGTTTGGCTGGTGGCTTCAGTCTGACTACCAGCCACTGTCACGGTTCCATAGCCCGGGGAACTAAGAATGGGCAGTGTGGATGGGTAGTCACAGGGCCTCTGTATGTTGAACATTGCGGCTTTCCAGCACATGTGGGCAGCTTTAGAGAAGGAGAAGGCAGATGGAGGAAGCTGAGCTGCCATCGTGGTCCCCCCGTGATGGGGGCCAGTGAAGTCCTGTGGCGGGGCTGGGCTGCAGGGCCTTCAGGCAGCCACCTTAGCTGCTCTCCGTGCCTGGAGTTCCCGCTTCGCCTCCTCCCTGTGCTGCTGCTCCCTCTGGATCAAGTACAGCCGCTCCTGGTGCCACTGCTGCAGCTTCTGCTCGTAGGTGGCAATGTCCTCTGCCTCACAGGCAGGGAGCTGGTCTTTGATGAGCTGGGTGGTCAGAGTCAAAAGGTTTCCTGACTCAATTTTGCCCAGAGCCTGAAGTTGGGAATGCAAGGCCTGTTGGAAAGACAGGAAGGAAGAGAAGGTGCATGTGGGAGGGCAGGGCAATGGGGGGAGAACAGGAGGAAAAGAGGTAAGTCACTTGCAACAGCTCCACATTCTCTCACTGGAAAAGGCACTTTGTTGGAACCTGGCAGCTTCCTTTCATGCAGACACTAGTAGCTTTTGCTCTTTTTATCCAGCTCAGCCATTTTGCTAAGATGCACTAAATGTGATTTCTCCCCCTTCACTTACAAACAGTAAATGGAACTCCATATGCTGTGATTCCCACTAGTTTCTTTTTTAAACCACAATGATGGCACAAGTATAACAAATCAACATATCCACCCTGACCTGCACCAAACTGAGCAGCCAACTCCAAGGGCAAAGAGCGCTAAGATGCAAACAAAATGGCAGAGGCAGCTGATAAACTGGATGAAGCCCATCCATATCTTTTCCTTCAGAACAATTGAGATAAATGTTTGCCTGACTCGTGTTCCTTCCAACAGATGGGAACCATCCCGAGGACTTCTCACTAACGGCATGCTAACAGCTCCCACGAGGGCTGCGCTACTGCAGTCCTCCACCTGCTGTGCTCCCAGGTCAGCTTTTACTTACTGACTGCTTTGTTCCGTCTGAAGTGGCAGCTGGGCCTGTCTGTGTATTCCCGGAGAGGTAAAGTACAAAAAACACAAATCTACTTGAGCACTTCAAGGTGCAGATGGCCGGAGAGAGCTGCCTACAGCCCCGGCCAGCCTGAGCCACATCCCCATGTTCTACACAAATACAATTCACTGGCACAGGCGATGAAGTCCCCAGTGGGGACAGGAAGGTGGGCAGGTCCATGGGCCCCAAACAGATTACCTGAGACTAATAAACATCAGGCAACACAAAGAAAGGAAGTGCAAAGTAAAAATCATTATACATGGTTCGAGGCCAAGGAGACAGGCTGGGACATCAGAACAAGGACTCAGCTCTGACTCAGAAAACTTGTGTTCAAATCCAGAGTCTGTGTGGGCTGGTCTCTCTCAGCCTTGGTGCCATGTAACTTGGCATGAGCAGCATCTGACACCCAGAGCCATGTGAGGACGGATGAAATGCATGGGGTCTCATGCACAGCTAGCAGCCAATAAATATTTGTCTCTTGTCGTTTTTGATTTTTTTTTAAAAAAAGTGTTTTTGGAAGAGTGAGGACGGAGAATTTAACGTAGGCACAGATTTCTATTCTTCGAGGCTAAATTATAAGAAACAAGAGAAAGAGGTGGTAATTCTTAGGAATAGGGTGATAGCCTTGGTCAATATGAATGCGGCCAATACAATCTATGGGGCTAAGTAGACTTTTTTAGCCTTTCTATATCCGCAAAATTAGGCAAGGTTAAGAGGAAAGAATAGGTATGTAGGTTCTTAACCTAGCTCTACTGTTAATACTCTGTATACCCTGGGAACACTGATTAACCTTTCTCAGTTTTCAAATTATAAAAGAGGGAAGTTGAGCAATGATCTTATAGAAATACTGGAGAAACAGCTGCTAAAGGACAAAAGAATCCCCTATAACATGGGGGATGAGATTTCCCATAGCTGGTCCAATCTAATTACTGAAAAGACGTAAAGGTAATGATCTGGCAAAATGTACATCTCTCTGTCTCAAAGTGATATAAGAGGTCAGCTGGCATGGATGGGAATGTTTTCTGCTTCATACAAAAAACTCTCCTCCAGGCAGCACTTTTTCTCTTCACACAAAATAGATGAGAAAAAGCAAGGAAGAGGCCAAGGGTTTAAACTTTGAACATGGCTCTTCTTTCCTAATGACCACCGAGCCTTCTGGGATGTTCAGCTGAAAGCTACCAAAGGTAGCTTGAGTGCTCAGGGCCATTTTGGAAAGAAGCAGTGGAAATTTGTTTCCACCTTCTATGTGGTACAAGAGAGCATTGCTAATGGTCCTCCTGCAGAACACAAAGCCGTCAAGGTGAGCAAAGGAGGACGCCTGCATCTTACCTCCATCCTACTCAAGTGCGGCTTTGTAATTTCCACCTGCATCTCTGGTTATCCAGCACACTTAGTGCAATGGGAGAAACGACCAGATCCTTTCCGCTCAGGGCTGGAGTCAGGTGACTGCTATGAGAGGCAAGTATTACCCACCCACCAGGCACATGTCGGGGTGATGGGTTAATGACATGCTGCCTCAGGGAACAAAATGGTGACCCATTAGCTCAAGTACAAAAAGAAGTGTAGAGATTCCATTTGTTTCTTTTAAGACCACTTCCTGTGTGAAGCAATAAAAATGCAATTTTTGATGTCAGTTTTTAATGCCTTTCTGAGTGACATTAATGCATAAAAGGACTGCCTATCTGTCACTAGGGCAGAGAAGCATTTTTAATGCACAGCTGAGAGGGCCTCAGTTCTGCTATGACTCACCTTAAATCGCTCCAGGTATCGTGGAAGCTTGGACTGTTCAGTTTCCTCCACGTCCAACTGCTCCACCAGTTCTGGCACCTGGCTGTCTTCCCCTCCTTGGGGTTGTTCCTCTGAGGACTCCTGGGCTGGAGCAGTAAGGGCCTGCAGTGCTCTGTCCAGCACGTCGAGCTGTGGGGCAGAGATGGGCAGGGACTCATCAGCCTGTGGCCCTGAGGTCACACAGTGAAGGAAGGCTGGAGAAGGGAAAGGAAATCTGGGATCTAAAAAGTCATGAGAAGAGTTCTCTTATGAAATTATAGGAAACAGAAATGGTTATATGATTTCCATTAGAAACGCCTTGTCGGATGGCTTGGAAAACTTTGTACAAAACAAATGGTACAGATAATCAAGCTCAGAATTATTTATATATGAATTAGCATAATGGCATTTGATTTCCCTTTTAATCAACCAGGTAGGAATCCAAGAATTATGCTCAATGGGCACAAAAGAATGCCCCATCCCCGCCTCCACTGTCTGTCTTCCTTAATCAGTTTGGAATTGGGAGAAAGACAAAGAAAAATCAGCATAGACCACTGTGAATGCATGGTGAAAGCCAACAAAGGGCCACTGTGAATGCATGGTGAAGCCTCTGAACCTAGACGAGGGTCTCCTTCAGAGGAAGATGTTAGCTCTCAGAGTCAGCAAATTAGGGACCAGCACAATCCACATAAGCTGCCAGCAAAGACCAGAGAAGCACACATGAAATTCACCTTAGAGGTGATTCCTGTGACTTAGAAAGGAAGTAAATTATAAAGCAGGGGTTTCTTTTGTTTTGACCCCTCCCCTCACCACTTTCACCTTGGGCACACCTCCTGAACCCAGAGGGACTAATTAGAGATGGCAGAGCAACAACCTCATGGCCAGCATCAGCACCTGCTTCAACATCGATTAATTCTGTCCATGTCATGTTAGAACAAAAATCGAGAAATACTCCGAGGCCCTTCAATTACACTAATACATTACACCCAAACCCAATACACGTCCCATTCCTGCTGACTTCTGAATCACATTTTTATTAAGTCAGAACACAAAGAATGCACAACCTGGCAATGAGTGGAAGGAATATTTCTCCGGCAAGGAACTGACGTACAATTTTGTTTTCAATCACTAACATGACTACGGCAGGGCTGAGTAGGAATATATATTTATAAATGTATATGCTTTGCTATACATGCCTCGACAAAACGATAACGGTTCACTAGACATTAGCATAAAGAGCCACTACAGGAACCAGATTCGCATATCTCTCGACTGCAATGAAAGCCAAGTGGCGAGTCCTAGTTACCAGGGTTAAGGCAAAACAAATGAGCAGCTCAAAGTTAACATTCACACCCTAGTAACGGAACAACCAATGTGCTTCTAGGCTTCACAGTGACTACAGAAGCTGCTTGGACAGGAGCAGACACTGCCTTCCTATGGGGTGTGTCACATGGCTCTAAGATGCTACCTCTCCTGTAGCCTGAGCTAAATCTAGTAACTTCAGAGTGTCAAGAGCCCTAAGTGACAGAGAGATGAGCTTGGGGCTGAAGGACAGGCTCTTAGTCTAGGCAACGTGAAGTCCTTAGAACTCTGAAGGGAATACTTGATCCAGGTTTCAGCACCGTGCATTCACCATGGAGCTCTTTAATGGAAGGGAAGGAAGGCTGTGCCATGCCGTGCCATCTCTAGTCCCAGACTCATTTTTTGTGGGTAGTTTCCCAGGACTCTAGGGCTAAAGAAAGGGTAAACATTTTAAATGAAATCTTAACCTCTCCTGAGCTGCCACAGAGACTTTACTGGGGAGTGGGCTGCATTTTATTGAACTCGGAAGGGGAAGAGTTTTCCTCCTAGACAATGAGCTATAAAATAAACAATAATCTTATTTTCTAGTAATGTTGAGAATATTTGTGGTTTTTCATTCCTTTTCAACTGGATAAGTATGATTCTACAGAAATAAATAAAAAAGTAGGGGGCAGGGGAAGACAATGAAAACAAATCCAAAACATAACTTAGGAGATGGCTAAATCCCCTGATAGGACCGAGGAACGTACCGCTTCTTGACATAGCTTTCCATCTTCTGCGGAGGAGGCCACCTTCTCCATCACCTGTAGGGCTCTGTCCAGGTAGCCTGGCCGCCACAGCAGAGGCATGTCGTGGTACACGGCCCGGAGCCCTCGCTGCAGTTCCACTTTCCCTGTGGCCAAAAGGAACAATGAAGAAAGCTCAGCCACGCCTTCCCACTAGGTCTGAGACTGATGACTTGAAGGCACACGTGGATATTCACCTGGTAGCTCTAGAAATGGAGACAGGTCATTTCAAACCTGTACCAAGGGCCCCACCCCACTCAGCGGCCTGGTGACATTTCAGATGGATGACACAGAACATGGAAAATTCACTGTACACGTGTTTTAAGACACAATTTATGAACTTGTTTTTCCTCTTCCCTTTAGGCTGGCAGGATTACCATGAGGATGTCTGAAGCACAGGGCTGTGGGAAATTTAGAGAGGTGGATATATCTGCCTCCAAGTATAGCCACCCTTATAAGAGGAGTCAAACAACTGAAACACTATTTTTGTGTTAAGAACAAAATCTCCTTCAGAAAAGAAATTCTACAACTTTTCTACACTGAAAATCTTGTCAACATTGGACAACCTGTCCTGCCAGGAAACGTGTGACAGTTTTTGAAATGCTCCAAAACATCCCACTGACTGTCCTCATGAAAAAAAAAAAAATTTCATTTTGCTCTTCTTTCCCTCATTTGAGCTTTATCAGTACTTAAAGCATAAAGTCCTCATCATCCTCTGGCTCTCGGGACATGAGTGTTTCTCTTGGTTCCTCATTCCATCGCCCTGGAAGTCAGGGTGTGGGCCTGACAGCAGGGCCCTCTGGTGGGTAGGGCTGGTGACTCCTAAGGCACAGGAGTCCTCTCTGCACCAATGGACAAAGTCACCTTGAGCTGTCAGGTCTCAAATCCACCTTCACTTATCTTTCCAAGGAAGGAGGATTTGGAAAAGCTACAGCAGGACATAAATAGACAAAGCTTATCAGGTGACAGCTAATTTTAGAGCTTTAAGATGCTTGGGGCTAGACTGCAGCCACATTCTGGGAAGCTGCTGCCATTGGGGTGACTGAGGCTGCCCAGCACAGGACACAACGAGAGCAAAGAGATTCTGATGTGCCAGCTGCCAGTCCCAAAGCACTGGGGCCTCTGCTGAGAAACAACCACAAAGTACATTTTTTTAGCCCTGTCAACTTCCTGAATAATTTCTGCAGTACAAGAGACCTGAATGCTAATCTGAAGGCAAAAACATGTAAATCACTATCAAAAGTAGATAGCAAATAAGGAGAAAAAGACTTTTTTTTTTAAATGTCTTTACTGATTTCAGAGAGAGGAAGGGAGATGGGGACAGAGAGAGAAACATCAATGATGAGTCACTGTTTGGCTTGCCTCCTGCATGTCCCCTGCTGGGGATGGAGCCCTCAGCCTGGGCATGTGCCCTGACTGGAAATTGAACCTCAATCTCCTGGATCCTAGGTCAATGCTCAACCTCTGAACCATGCCGGCCAGCTGAGAACATGGTTTTTAACAAGTAGTCTACTCTGACAGCCAGTCCGGTAAACTCTGAAATTCCTCTCTGAGTCAGTTTATATCAGGATCAGCCTCCAGGAATGCCACACTACATTCTGTTGGTGAAGATCAACTTCAAAAGCAGTCAAACTGCCCTAGCTTTGATGATTTTAAAAACTGAATGTAAGCAGAAGCAGCGTATCATCAAGGGGAGGTGCTTCCTCAAATGCCTATCACTCAAGACAGAGACAGAAAGCGTACTGACATAACATGCATTTAATAACCTCTATAAAACAGGGCACTTTTAATGTTGGATGTTATCTGCCCAGATTCCACACAGCCCAGGTTCTGAGGCCACGCCACAGGCCTCGACCTCCTGACCTGTCTGACTGCAATGCAGTCAGGGCACCCTCGTCCTGCCCCCCGCATGGCATGCCACCCCGCACCAATGAGCATACTGGATTCTGCTTTCCCAAAGTGCTACCAGTTGTGCTGAGTTTCTCCTCCTTCACCTGAAAATAATATCAAGGAGAGGACTTCAACCCTAACTCTTAATTTCTTCCTGGACTTTAGATCTAAAGAGAGAGAAAGATGTTTGTTAATACCAGGAAAGATTCTACTGGTTGGTTCTCCCAAAAGAGGGACACAACTTTCCTTTCTCTAACCCTTCCTTACACTGATTAGCATTAAACAGAAATTATAATCTGCGGCCACCAGCACTAGTTCTCAGTTTGCAAGTGGGTGACAGGCTTTAGAACCTCCTTATTCTCTCGTGTCACAACTGTAAGGCCATCAAAGTCTCCCTCCCTCCCTCCCCCTCTTCCTTTTTAAAACAGAATCTCCAACCACAATCTCCTGGATCATAGGTCGATGCTCAACTGCTGAGCCACACTGGCTGGGAAAAGTATTTCTTTGTGTGTGAGTAAAAATGAAAGCTGTATAAGAATTTCACTAGCTATAATGTTATTATGAAGTAGAAGAGTGCATGGTTCTACCCATGACAAACACATTTGTAAGGTCACTTAGCTTACCTAGAAGTGCATAGCCATACAGCTGGGAGCTCAGCCCCACGGAGTTCTTTTGCTTTAGGCCTGGGAGTAACAGGGACGCACCGAAGTTCCTCTCCTCTTCCCACTGCAACAGAATACACAAGGTCATGGTGCAGCCGAGCAATGAGCACTTTATGCAAAAATGTGGTTTTTAATAACATGGAGGAAAAAGAACATGTTATAGCATTAAGTTAAAAGAGTAAAATAATAAAGCTATAGATACATTATAATCCCAATTTTGTATGTAAGCGGTATTTATGTTTAATGAAACATACAGAAAGGAAATACCCTACATGTTAACAGATTTCTGTGTGGTGAAATTGTGAGTAATTTGGTTTTCTTTCTTGTGCTTTTCTTTTTTTTCTTTTTTAAATATATCTTTATTGATTTCAGAGAGAGGAAAGGAGAGGGAGAGAGATAGAAACATCAATGATGAGAGAGTCATTGATCGGCTGCAGCCCACAACCCGGGCATGTGCCCTGACCGGGAATCAAACCCTGATCGCCTGGATCCTAGGTCGAAGCTTTAACCACTGAGCCATGCCCGGCAGGGCATTTTGTGCTTTTCTTTATTTTCCAAAAATTTGGCAATGAATAAGAGGTCCTTTTACAATCAGAAAAGCAAAACAAAACGAAAATAAAGAGCACACTCTGGACCAACATTGCCTGGGACAATCAATAAAAATGTGACATGCTGTCAGCCCCATTCTCACTCCCATGGCTCTGACATGATGGAGTGAGCGTCTGAATTTGAAACAATTCAGCAATGATAGGGCTCCCACTTGAGAATGTTAAAATAAATACAACTACTAGCTTTTAGATAGATTTGTGCCTATCAAAAATAAATTAGGTAATAAGAAACACTTAGTGATCATTTCAACTCAGGGTGCAAAATTACATTTCAATAAAATTGGAGCCTTTTGAGACATGAGAAAAATGGGGCAAAAAACACAGCATTGCTAAGCTTGCTGCAGAACACTAACAAGAGTGACGGGACTTGCTGGAAAATGGGGCTGGAGCAGAGCCTTGGCAATGCCCCAGACACGAGAGCTGGGGTCATCTCAGTGCCACCTGAGTACACACTGGCTTGAGCCTGGCTCTGGCTTAGAAATACAGAACACAAAGCTCAAGTTGCCCTGCACAGGCGTCTGCACTCAGAGATCAGGGAGGAAGCAGAGAATGAAATGTGGTCCGCCTGTGACAATTGCAGCCTGTATAAGTGAGGCACTCCAGGTGTTAATGGGCACCACACCTTTTTACTGGGGATGGCCTCTGTGCAATGAAAGTGTAATTTCTTAAGGTCTGAAAAAAGCAAAGTCCTTGGGAGAAAAAGAAAACCCTCCCTGGGGAACTTCTGCAGCATAGATAAGTAAAATTGCTGGTAATTAAGGACCAGGCCATTTCACTTTTAAAAGCAAATCACACTGGTTTGATTTTCTCTCACATAAAGTGCACAAAAAGGGTCCTAGTGAATATACAGGGAGCCTGAAAAACATTATTTTCCTTTTCTTTAAGGAAAAAAAGATCTATAGTATCAGAATGCAATAGGGCGAAAAGCCAAGTGAGTAGTGTCCTTGCTGTGCTGGGGACAGAGCAGGGTGGTGCTGGCGACTGGGATAGCGATACCCCCAAAGGACTTCTAGAAAGATGAAAACAAACACAAATAAAATGAGTGTCTTAGAGGTGTTTGAAAAATGGCCTGGGAACAATGCAACCACTGCTAAAACCTTAGGTCTCTTCCAAGCTGTTAGGTTCTGGGGCATGTACTGCCAGACTGTCAGGTGCTATTTCACCAATGTCCTCTAGGTTTTTCCATTTTATGCTTCTGCCTCTCCCATTAATACAAAGCAAACCTTCATTTCCCCTCTTCCTCCTGCTCCACTTCACAGCTAGACATCCTGAAACACCTGCCTGCACTCGCTGTCTCCTTTCTGTGTCTCTAAGTCACCCCACGATCCACTCCAATTTGGTCTCCCGCTCCATTACTCTATGGAATCAAAGGTTATAATTCTGTGCCTTCATGCTCTAATTTAATTCAAAGGTGCTTGTCTTACTCAGAAGCATGTTATGTTGTAGACCACTGGGTTTTGTGGTCCACGCATTCCTAATTTTCCTTTTGCTCTGTGGCTCATTTGCAGGCATTTACACATGGATGTATATACATTTTATATCCAGTCCAGATTTTTCCATTAAGTCCCTTAATTTCCCTTGTGCCATCTCTTGACTGTCTCAAAATGCAAAATCTTCGGAGCCAAATTAATGATTTTCCTCATGAATGCCATTCTTTTTCCAGAGTTCCCTGCAAACACATGTGACCCTTCTGTCAAGACACAGAAGTGAGAAAATGAGGAGGTAAGATTTGAACTGCTCCCCTGCCTCCATGTCTAGTTCATCATCACGTCGTTTGCCTCCAAGACACGTCCACCAGCTCAGACAACCAGTCATCTCCTGGGTGCCCTGACCACAGCCACCACAGCCCCACTCTGATCTTTCATGTACATTACAGCCAGAGGCATCTTTTCAAAACACAGGCCTCGTGAGGCCTCTGCTAAGACTTTTCTACGGTCTCTCATTATTTTTAGGATGAAGACAAAGTAGCTTAGCGTGATCTACATGTTTCTACCTTCTCTTCCCCACAGCCCTCCCTCTCCTCTGCTGCAGCTGCACTGATCACCTTCCCACCTCCTTCCAGCCCCTCTGCTCACCGCGCTCTGCCTGCAACAGGGCTTTTGCACAGGTAGTCTCCTCTCTGGATTTCTTCCCCTCTTCAGCCAGCTAACTCCTACTTATCCTTCAAATGTTAACCCGAGAACTACTTCCTTAAGAAAGTCTTTCATGACCTATCTAAATTTAAAATACAAACAAAAATTCCCTACAATACAGGATTTTCATGGACAACATCTTTGTAGTGCTCACTGCAGTCATAATTCTGTATTTGTGTGTCTGTTTCATTGTTTTTAAATGTCTGTGTTCTTTCCAGGCTGTAGGGAGGAAATGTTTGCTCATAGTGCTTAACACATATTTAATGAGATGATGAAGGTGTTTGCCATAGGCTACGACACTCATCTTCAGAAAGCAAAACACACCACAAGTCCTTTAGAATGTGGGCTGGACTACATGACATTTTCAGTTCTTACCCAAACTAGAATATTTTAATGTTATATTTGAGGTTAAGGGCAGAGAACAGGACCAGACGTCCTGGCTTCATGAGGCGGCTTCATGCTATTAACTGATACTTCTGTGCCCCAGTCTTCTCATCTGAATAGAGTTGTGAGGATTAAATACATTAATAAATTTAAAATACCAAGAACACAACCTGGTACGAAGTAATTGCTATGTAAATATTGGTTATTGTTGTTATCACTGTTGTTATTCTTAGGACAGCAATAAATAATAACTAAATACCTAACCTAAGGGGTAAAATCAAAACTTGGCATTCTGGACTGACCTACAGTAACCTTAGGGAAATACTGATATAAATTAAATAATTGGTATTTAATACCTAAGGTTGTGGTTGAGGTCAGCAGCCTCATTGCTTCTTTGATATGCCATGCCCACCTCTCACTGACTATCAGTTACCCATTTCTGAATGTCTGAGGGGCACTCTAAAGTTTCAAAATGTGCCTAAGCACATTCACTTGAGATCCTGGAGGAACATCCAGTCCCACTTTGTTAGAAACCAGAAGCTACAATGTTGAGTGAACACTCATTCCTGATTGTACAGGGCGACAGAGCTGCATTATCAGGTAGCTCCTTCTAGTAGATTCTGAGAGCCTGGGTTTCCTCTGGCCACCTCACCCATGCTGAATAGCCACTCGCTGCCTGCTCTTTCTAAGGCTCTCGGGACGGCTCGAAAGAGATCACTTACCGTGAAGTCTGTCTTCTTTGCCAGGCAGTGGTATAAAACATAGAGGGAGAGAAGTTGGGTGGAAGGTGCTTCAAAGGCTTCTTGCATCATGACCTCAAAAACCACAGATAAAGCATCTGGCAGGAAGATCAAAGTAAAATCGAGAGCAAATTAGCTGCAGGTAACATCACCAAATCTGTACTTAACTATAAACACTCTTATAAAAAGTGAAGCGTGATAGAAAAATAAGCAGAATTAAGAAATGAAAAATGTGGGCTCTGTTCCGAGTTATTCCCAAACCTTTAGCTTCTATTGTACATACTTGTATGCACTAGACCGGGTGCTACTGCACCATTGTCCTCACGGACACTGAATAAACCACTGAATTCTCCCAGTATCATCTTCATAATGATAAAATACCACTTGTCCCATCTACTTCAAAAGATTGTTGGACAGTCCAACAAGATAATACTTATGAAAATGCCTCATAAACTGAGAAGCAAATTTAAGGCAGCATGTCTATCAGCTGGAAGAGCTAACGCATACAGAAAGGAGGCAAATATATTCTCCAGGGCACCCTGACAAGCAGAGCAGGGCTGGGCTGATTGCTTCATTCTGTTCTGCTACCTTCTCCTGGTTAGGGCAAAAGAGGACAAATGCTAGAGGCAATCCTAAATCCCAGGTATTACTTCAAAGACAAAAACCTGATTAATATAAAAAGGACAACCGAGCTCAGTTTAAAAGAGTTGAACGAAGGGAAAGGAAAATGCTCATTCATGAAGTATAAGCACCTGCGTGTAACATACAACATAGTTGTTTCCACATTCCCTCAATAGTCCACAACATAGAAGGCAAGAAAATCAAGCTCAAACAACTTCCTTTCCTTAATATTTGTTGTTAAATTAGAGAATGTTAATGTTGGTTTGAAAGGTGGAGCCTGTATATAACGGGCACAAATATTTTGACTAACTGGGCTGCTGTGTTAACCAATTTCTGCATACGCTCATAATTACAGGAGCTGGCACTGATTTGCAGCTGTTCCTAGCCAGCTGGTTTTGTACATGTCATGGTTCAGAATGAGGCCATAGGCAAGAATTTCCATATTCTTTTTACAAATAGGGAAACTGAGCTAGACAGGTAGACCAGGAAGCCATCTAGTCAGTAGCAAAATAATGACCTGGAAGAGGTTATAATAAAAGAAAAAACCCACCAAATAAACCAGTATTTTAAAAGAACAAAATTAAAGCTAATAATCTAGTTTTTAAAAAACGTAGTTTTGCCACCTGCTCACTACTGAATCTAAATTTACATACGGAAAAGAAATCAAATTTGCTTTATCCTTCATATTTAAATTCTGCATTTCCATCAGCTTGGGGAGTAAAGTTAGACTGGCCTGTATAATTAAGTTACTTTTCCTCCACAGTCATTTACGCATTTTGATATTTCCTATCCCAACAATAAAAATATATTATTTTCTAAGTTTTGCCATAAATGATAATAATCTTTATCAAAACTTTATTTAAAAAATTCTCAATATTATATACTCTGTATTTAGAAAAGAAACTCCTTCAATCCTTCCAACATACCTTTTATTTTATTTTATTTCTTTTTAATTGAGTTTATTGGGGTGAAACTGGTTAACAAAACCATACAGGTTTCAAGTGTACGACTCAACAATACATTTACCCACTGCATCGTGTACCCATTGCTTCCAACATACCTTTTAAAGAGAGAGTGAGGGGAGAAAACTGCTACCACATAATTTTCCAATTATACACTACTATGGATTCTTAAATCTGATGTTCAGAGAATAGATTATAAAAATTAGATTTTGTGAAAGCAAATTATCTTTCAGTTGAATTCAGGAAATGCACATTTAAAACTGAGTAAGAAATGGACAGTAAGGGATAATTAACATTTCAAAAAATAATATGCAGCGAATATCCTTTGGCAGTCAGTAACTGTATGCCTATGAGAGAGAAGACAAAGCAGAGATCCAGAGAAGAGAAAGGAGCGGGATGCTCACACTAAGGGCAGAGACAGCCAATCCCCAGCCTAGTCACTGAGCACTGATGCAATGGAAAAGGCCGAGGGTGCTGGCATGCAAGGATGAGGGGATGGAACCCAAAGACAGGGTCACAGATATCATAAACGCATACGTGACAGCCAGTGCTTGCTTCGGCAGCACGTCTACAACTGGGACGATACAGAAGATTAGTATGGCCCCTGCGCAAGGATGACACGCAAATTCGTGAAGCATTTCATGTTTTTAACTAAATGAAATGGAGGCAAGCAATATACCAGATGCACAGTTCAAAACAACGGTTATTAGAATGCTCCAAGAACTCAGGGAAAGGATGGATGAACTTAGCGAGGACTTTGACAAAGGGATAGTAAGCATAATAAAGGACATAGAAATCATAAAAAGGAACCAGTCAGAAATAAAGAACACAGTATCTGTTAGGTGGAATCAACACCAGGCTAGATGAAGCAGAGAACCGAATCAGCAATGTGGAAGATAAGGTAGCAGAAAACACCCACCAGAGCTGCCTAAGCGGCCACCAGTCCACACTCATGCTCCTGGGGTAGTAACTGCCCTAACACAGGTGTGGCTCCCTCATGGCTCCTCAGCACCAACCAGGCCTGGACGGGATGGTTGAAGAGGACAGCTAGTGTGTGTCCTTATACAGTGGCAACGCCTCCTCTTTCCTGCTTCACCGTCTGACAGCTGCACGCACAGGTGGGACTACAATTCCCTGCCCACTGGAGACTGGCAGGGTCCCGCCTGACCGCTCTGTAGAGTCTGCCGCTATCACCATCCTTCCTTGGCACCCCTTACTGTGACTGAGGTTAAGAGCCACTTTAAGTTAATTTCATGGGATCAGAGAATTTGGGGGTAAAGAGATCTCAGAGATCCACTTGTTTACAGATGAAGTGATAAAATCCCAGGGAAGGGAAATGACTCTCCTTCATAGTGACTGTACTGCTCTTTCCAGGATGAGTCAGCTGAATTTACAGTTTTATATTTTACATAATACAACAACTGTGATTTAAATAAAACAAAGTTAGCAAATGGTGCCAAAAAGGGGGCAAGCAATAACAGCATTAGTATAATCTTAACCAGCCATGGAAGCTCAGGCAGGGATTTTTGCTTAATTAAATAAATTCTGTCCTTTGCCTAAAGAGACATGAACAAATAAACTTGAGAAACTCAGAGGAAAAAAAATTTGGACATGATTTTCTTCTCTGGCCAAGTGGCATGGTAAATCAACTACAAATCTATCTCTGACTAAAAGAGTGATGTAAAGACAAGTCATTAAGGAAAAAAAGGGAAAGTGACTACACTTACTTCTCTTTGGGAACGAAAGCCCCACTGTAAATAGACCTGGGTGTGGTTTCTTACCTTTGTAATTTCCCTTCTTTATGAAATAATCTATCAGTAAGTTGAAAGTAAAGTTATCTGGAAAAATTCCATATTGAACCTGAGATGAAAATGAAAAGAAGAGTAAGAGAAAAATATCCACTTTAATCTGATTTATAATATATGCCTATGTATTATTCAGGACGAAACTTGCCACCATCAGCTTTAAAATATTCGCCTATCATTTTACAGCATCTGCGACCGTGAAAGAGAAGCTGTGACTCATGAGGTTTGGTAACTGGAACAGCTGGTCAGGGCAAGAAAGTTGTAGTGGGTGTTTGATAAAAGACAATTGATATGTGAAAAATAAAACTCAATTCTAACGCCTCGTCATAGTTAAAAAAAACCACCCTAAAACAAAAAGACCTAAACCAACTTCCCTACCCACCACATGCTCCACTGGTTCAGAGCCTGTTTTCATAGGGTATGAATGTCAATGCAAAACTGGACACCCATTAGAAAGCACACACCAGCACCTGTGCAGCATTTTCTGGTCCTTACACTGTTTTCCCCCCAACTTTATTAAGATATAATTGGCATATAACATTGTATAAGTTTAGGTGTACAATATAAATTTAATACACATTATATTGAGAAATGATTAGCACAATAAGGTTACTTAACACATCCATCACCACACATTATACAATATTGTTAACTATAGTTAGCATGTTGTACATCAGATCCTCAGAACTGGAAGTTTGTACCGTTCGACCAACATCTCCCTATTTCCACAACCCCAGCCCCTGGCATCTACCATTCTATACTTCCTTTCTATGAGTTCGTGTTTTTTACATTCCACATATAAGTGAAATCAAGCGTATGTCTTTTTCTGATTGACTTATTTCATGTAGCATTATGCCTTAACTTTTGTCCATGTTCTCATAAATGGCAGATCTCCTTTTTTATAGCTTAATAATATACAGACATTTTTTTAAACCCATTCATTTATCAATAAACATTTAGGCTGTTTCCACATCTTGGCTATTGTGAACAATGCCGCCATGAACATGGGGGTGCATATTACTCTTTGAGACAGTGATTTCATTTCTTTCAGATATACACCCAGAAGTGGGGTTGCTGGATCATATCTTAGTTTTATTTTTAAATTTCTTGAGGAATTTCCATACTATTCCCCATAGTGACTGCACTAATTTACATTCCCACCAACAGTGCACAAGGTTCCCTCTTCTCCACATCCTTGCCAGTACCTGGTATGTCTTTGGTTTTTAAAGACCCAAGAAATATGTCAATGAAATATTACTAATCAAGCTACTCAGATGTTCTGTTCACAAGCAGTTGAATATTTGAGAATCCAGATTTCTCCAAATGTGGACTATAGCCTTTGCATCAGAATTTTCTAGGAATGCTTTTAACATTGCAGATTCCTAAGCCTTAGACTTACAGAATCAGAATCTCTGGGAACAGGACACAGAACCCTGAAGTTTTAGTGAGCTTCCCGTGTAATTATCATGCACAGTCAAGTCTGACTACTTAAGATCTAAATTGTGGTTATATTTTTGTTTTAAATTCTTACTTCAGTAGGATTAACCACCATCCCCCACACTGCCCCATTCTTCCCCCACCAACCAGCAGAAATGCCCAAAGAATTGTTTTCAGTCTATACTCATCCTCTTGGGACATTCTGATGGTCTAACCCCCCAGTTTTGAATCACTGCTGAAGTGAGTCACTGTTACTTGTAGGCTGCATGGGATGCCTCAGGCGTGCTAAAATGGAAAACCTGTTTAGAAGCCATTGTTTGAAAGGGTGGAGCTCATGGGCAGCATCTATATTTCTCAAAACAGTTATCCAGATCAGCATTAATCAGTAGAGGCGTGGTAAAAACAGTATTTTAGAATGATACCTCATTAAAGCTAGAAGGAGCCTTAATCAGTTAACTGGTCAGTGATTCTCAGCTCTGGCTGCAAATCACAATGAACATGGGAGCTTTAAAAAGATACCAATGAGGGGCAAATAGGCAGAACACAGAGGATTTTAAATGCAGTAAAACTACTCTGTATGATGCTGTAATAGTGGATATATGTCATTATACATTTGTCCAAACCCATATAGTGTACAGCACCAAGAATGAACCCTAATGTAAACTATGGACTCTGGGTGATTACAATGTTTTCAATGCAGGTTCACTGATTGTAACAGATATACCACTCTGGTGGAGGATGTTGATAATGGGGAGGCTGTGCATGTGTGGGGACAGGGCACATATGGGAAATCTCTGTACCTCTTGCTCAATTTTGCTGTGAACCAAAAACTACTCTAAAAAATAAAGTCTATTTAAAAAACATTTAGAAAACCCATTAAAAAATGCCAATGCCTAGGTTCCAGAAAGATCCATTAAATTAAAATCTTGGGGGTGCAGAAAAGCATGTATAAATTTTAAAAAGCTTCTTGTGTAAATCTAATGGGCAAATCAGGGTTGGAAATCACTGATTTAGTAAAACTCACTTAAGAGCTGACAAAACTGAGACCTAGAAAGATAAATTATTTGCGTGAAGTTACAGGTAACTAGTGGACTTTATAGGATTATAGCCAGAGTGTTCTTTCCACAAAAGAAAAAGGGAGACTTTTCTACCTTTCCAGGTCCTTACTGTTTTGTTTTCATAGGAATCTTTCAGTGTAATTTGTGTCATTAAACTCTGAACTGAAGAGAGCAGGATTTAATTTATTCCTTCCCCTGGGGCCTAATATTAGATTGATCAGTGAACCGCTTATCTGCTTTATTAAGTTATAAGTTTCCTAGGGCAGGGATATTGCTCATTTTTGTAAACAATGCCATACCCAATGCAATGTCTCACATACAAACTGTCTGCAACAGTTTAGTATATTAAGTTGAATTAGGCCCAAGGCACGGGAGAAAAACTCCCCAAAACAAAATTGGTACAGTGGTACCTCAGTTTTCGAATGTAATCTGTTCTGGAAGACCGAGTTCTGAAACGTTCGGAAACCGAGGGGTCAACAGCCCACAGCTAGGCCTCAGGATCTTGCCCTCAGCAGAAGCCGTGTGGCATGTTTGACTTCTAAGGTGTGTTCGAAAACTGAAGCATTTCCTTCCCAGTTTATGGCATTCGTAAACTGAAATGTTCGTCAACGGAAATGTTCGAAAACCGAGGTACCACTGTAATTCCTTTATAGAGTTTTAACATACAAGGTCCAATGATACTACAGAAATAATACATTTTCATAGAAATATTGTTAAAATCTTTTTATAGTGTTGTAGCCTGAGACTCAGAAAAGTAATATTCTAAACTTTTTCTTATTTTGTACTTTATTCTCAAGGGGAGTCATCAGGGAATTTAGAAGACATGCTCTGAGTGACCTAGAATACGTCTTTTTAAAACATATAAGATAGTCTGAATACTAGGGCTTGACTTTTCCACTAAACTTCACCAAAGGGAACCAGGCAAGAAATCCAAGGCTTAGGGATCAAGAATGAAATGAGTACCAGTGCAAACTTCTTGTGACTGGACTACCTTTGCTTCTACCTGTCCACTCCTGAGCTCTTATACTGGGAAAGCAGCAGTCACAGGAATTTTTATTTTTAATGTGTTGATTAATTTCTATCCAGCTCCATTCTAAAAAGGATATCTGAGGATAAATCATTTTAAAGTTATTTCTTGTACTATTTGGCTGTGTTGTAATAGGTTCAGACAGCATATCACCTAAACTTGGAAGAATAGACTGCACGAGCCAGGAGCACTCACCTTATTCACAAGGGTATATAAGGCCTTGTCCTGTGCCCCGTGCTTTAGACACTGCCTAACCCAGGTGTGGACAGACCAGTCTCTCAGGTAACAGCAGTTGGGGCTGTGTCGGAATCTAGACAAAGCATAAGAACAGAGAAAACCAGTGTTAACTCTTAAACGTCAATACCAAAATACATCTTCCACCAGCAGGTGCTTCTCTTAGGTATTTACAGATGTGCAGTCAGTGTGACCAAAGTCATAAAAGAGTCTACAAGAACTTGAGGACAAAACTCATTAACTATAAAGTCTGAAAAGGAAAAGAGAAGGCAAAATAGTAACAACAAAGAAAAAATATTGTAAAAGTTGTACTCCTTATTTAATACTCCCTAAATCAACATCTTGTTTTAATATGAGATTTAAAAAATGATTTGGGAAAAATCCAACTATGGTATTATGTGAATACATAGTTCATTAGAAGAAAGATGGGAAGCTGTAGCTGACACCTTAGAAGTTTACAATAAAACCAATGAAGCGAGAAAGAAAAATAGAATAGCAGAGCAGCTCTAGAGGGAAGTTAGCTTTGTGTCATATTGATCTTTCTTGTGGCGCTTAGGAGAGACTGGGACACTCATCAATGAACCAAAAGAAAACAAGAAAGATGGAAACATAATAAAAATTGAGCAAATTTAACATTCGGGTCCCCCAGGTCTTCAGGATCCACAATCCCGCTGCCCCCTTCATAGCTTATTCTAGCTCTTCAGTCCTTACCCTCTTGCTTCCTACTGCTACCACATGGTTTTAAAACACAGTTCAAGCTGAGGTTTATACAGGAACAGTGCTGCCACAAAGGAAGGAATTCCAAATACTACTCTTGCCTTAAGTTTGCACACATGGGTAATCCTTTGGGTCAGAGTGCTTCTTCTTGCTCCTGGGGTTCCAGGCCACAAGCCTGAGTGAGAACAGAGACAGTGTAAGGGGCTCTGCAGTCCTCTTTTTGTTTAAGTTGTGACTGGGATGGATCCTCAAAAATCACATCAAGTCAGCTCAAGTCCCCACTTTTTCTTTAACCTGATGGAAACAGGTTAATCTCTGGGTCCTACAAAGTTTTCTTAAAAACAAAAAGGCAAGACAAAAACTTGGAGTACAAGGATTTTGTGCCGGATTTGAGAGTCAGGGCTACAGGCTTATACCAGTGTTTTTCAGAGGCTGCTAATTCAATCTGCCACCTGCTACTTCCTGCCATCTGCTATTGGGATAGTTTCCTGCTGAACAGGTTCTCTGCCAAAGTAAAAGCTGAGAAAAAGAGAGAAAGTGAGAAGTAGTATTTAATTTAGGCTATTAGTGCTCTGGTTAGATATTTGGCAGAAATACGATCTGAAGATGTTTTACAGATTTAGAATCATCTAGCCCTCTCCAGTCCTTCGAATATCTTAGATTTGCCTAGAAAATGTCTCTCTCACTCTCTCTTTCTCTATAGAATTAATCCCTTGAAAAATAAAGATAGAAATTGGTCAAATTATGTTCAGGTTGAGAGTGATCTGGCCAAAGAAAGGCATTGTATAGGCGCCCAAGACACTAGAACTAATGAGTTCTTCACAGAGAAGTAAAACAAAATACGTCTTTTATTATTTCATGCTTTCCCTCACATCTTTAAATCAATCACCGACCCACTCTCTTGTAACTCTGAAAAAATCTGAGACCTAAAGTACAATGGCCAATTAAAAGTTAATTTTACCTTTAAAAAAACCCCGTGACATACCAGATGTATTGCCTAAATGACAGAGATGCTTCCTCGTTAGCCTGCGATCTCCCTTGGGCAAGCAGGGGCAATGACTGACTTGCTCAACACTGACTCCTCAGTGCCTGACACATTCAAGGCCCATGGCAGGTTTTCAGCAACAAAAAAGGAGCTTTAATCTACACCTGTATCAAAGGCTTTAATGTGCCGATCATTTTGTTAACATCTGTGGTACATATGAAGAACTGTAATTCCCTGTCTGGGGCATATATAATCTTGTTCCAAAGCAAAGTACACAAAGGTGAACAAGTATGCCAGGTGGGACAGTAAGTGCTAAAGGACACTGCTCATTGCCAAGAGGTGTTTTGATAGTAATGGGAGTTAGGTTCAGTACATTTTTCCTTTTAAAAACAAACAAAACAAAATAAAAAAGGTCAATTACTTCCTTTACCCAAGATTAATTTACACCTAATCCTCATTTACAATCTAATCTTCTGCTCTAGGATATTTTCAACGACCACTGAAGTTAGGACTTTCCTTTTTGATGGACTTTAAAATAAGAGCACCACAACCATATTCAAACACCCTCTTCTCTGATTAGTGATCAGCAGACCATTTTTAGGCTTTGAGCAAGAATAACAAAGACTGATAAGACCTGGCTATAAAAGCTTCAAAGCTTAATTAAAATCTGTTTAAAGCCATTTGCTAACCTTCTGAGGCTAACTTCAACACAGAGAACAGAAAAGTCTTTTCTCTCATAATTCCTTTCTTAGAAGCCTGAAGGGAAAGTTTCCCAAGACTTCCCACCTCCAGAACAATCATCTCTGTACTGCAGCCCTTTGGGGGGTGATTTGTCAACAGATTCAAGGGATCTTTAACAAGTCTACTCTCTCCCATCCTTGGCAAGGCTGCTCTGGTACGATCTCTGCTCTCTAAACCTAAAAATCCAGGTACACAACCATGACTGGAACATTCGCAATTAAGTGACATTAAATCAGTTCAGGAATAAGAATACTTCACATATATGATGAAATACGCTGCCCGAAGTGCAATTCCTGCACTTCCCAGCTGAGCAGAAATAAATTCCTTTCCAAGCCTGCATCAGTGTTAAAAAAGAAATTAGCACACACTTGTGGGATAGCCATCTAGGAAATAAACAATTCAAAATATTGAGACAGTAAGGGTCCAGCTTTGGATGCTGAGTTTGGAAAGAGTTCCTCTGCCAATGGGTTTTGAAGCAACTCAGAGATAAACGTGGGCCCTCTTCAGAACTGCCAGGGGTAATATGATAGGCAAGTCAGTCTCCGGAATGGGTACTTGCCTGGAATAAGTCTGCAGACTGCTGGACCAGAACTCTCCCTTTTAGCCAGGAGAAAGGCAGAGAGACAAGAACACAACTAACACATTGATTTTCCAATTTGCTTGCAAACAGACTGGCTTTTGTTCTCGCCTGCTCTGACCACTGGCCTGGAGGATTACAGGCAGCCACTGTGGGAGTCCCCTCTGTGCCCCACACCATCAGCTGTTTGCTCACCTCGACAGAAGCCTTATTATTGTCCAGGCCAGCAGGCTGCCAAGCTAGGCAAACCGTGTGAGTGTGGAAAAGATAAACAAATGCAACCCAAATAACCCCAACAATGTGCTCATGATGGCAAGAGACATTCTGAGCTTCCAGCTTATCAAATATAAGTAAATTTACAAGAATTTTAAAGACAAGAGTATTTCTTGGAGGAAGGACTGTCACAAAAAGGAGAGAATGAAGAAGTCCACTCTCCAGTTCTAGCTCTAGCTCTAGTTCTAAAAGCTGGTGACCCAGGACTGAAGGGATGTCTGTCCACGGTGCTAAGTGGGGTTGCCAGGTGAAGACAGAACTTGCCTACAAAGCCAAATCATGGCCAGTGAGATGCAGGAATTGAGAAGCTGCTTCTCCTTAAACATCAGGCTATACTCAGGACTCCTCAGGGCATCTGCCTGCACTGCTGCTCATTCAAGACTGATGTCACCAGGAAGGAAGGAGAGCAGAATCACAGGCTGCAAAACTGACAGGGGGCAAAAGTCTTTGATGCCTTAGAGAAGCCTCAGATGGGGAGAGCGGTTACATAAAAGTCAAGAGGGAAAAGAAAAGCACTTACTCTGATTACACAGAAGGAAGTTTACTGTGTGTAAAAGTCACATGGGACTTCCTATATGTGACCAATGGCATCACTTCATTCAAACAAATAAAGTGGGATACAGTCTTTCTTCCATGGGTTTCAAATGGTTACGGCTGAAGGCAGAAGTGGCAATGCTCACAGGCTCTGTGTCACAGATGAAAGTGCTCCTGGCTGAGCAAGGCGGAGGCACAGGTGCCAGAGCCTGGAGCTCATCTGCTCCACTGTTTAGCGGCAGCACTGGCTCTTCCATATGAATGAGCAAGCTTTCCACGTTTATCTGATCATGAGAGCCACCATCCCGGAACCTGCACACACAGCTTTCCTCCTCCCTAGTGAATCTGAATTCTGTATCCTGTGGCAATAGGCTTTCCAGATGGAGACCTCAGTCCCTGAGCTGGGCAGAAATGACGATGGGTGAACAGGTAAAGGGAGGAAAGAATGCCAAGAAGAAAATACAGCTGGCTCCAAAGACTGTAGTGTAAACTGGGAATCTTATCAATGAAACACAGTGTGCACAGTAATTAGTGAAAGGTTTGGGTGCACTCATGAACTAGAACCAAGGAGGACATCATGAGATTATTTAACCAGAATTAGGTTCAACCACTGTCACCCACTCTCTTGTTCTAAAAGGATAATTAACTTTCTTATGCATCCTGCTGGAAATTCTGCTTTCATCAATTATGAGTTGCCCCTACCTACCACAAATAAAATCATATTTTGATGAGCTAAATGGTTTTCTGCTTGAGAGCCTAGATTCTTACTCTTATAGGGAAACAGTTCATTTTAAGTTTCAGTAAATATGTCCTGAGCACTAAGTGAAGGGACAGAAGCAAGAGTCCCTCCAAGATTCTCCCCTTGATGGTCATCCAGTTTGGGCTCAAACATTTCCAACGAATTCATTATCTATCTTATGAATCAGATTAAAAAGTCTTTTTTTAAATTTTTATTTAAAGTTCTAATACTTTTTTCTTCTTTTTAAAGACAGGTTTACAGAGATATAATGTACAAACAGTAAAATTTATATTTTCAATATGTAGGTCTATGAGTTTTGACAAATTCAAACAGTTGTGTAACCACCACAATCAAGAAATAAGGAGCTCTGCCATCCCTAAAAATCCCTTACTGCCCCCTTTGTAGTCCACCCTTCCAGGGCTTGCTGGGCAATTTAAGTAAATTTTATACAGATAACCCTACAGTTATTAATTTTGCAAGAGGAAAAGCAAATAAAGTAATAAAAGTATA